GAGTTTTTTAACTGTAAGATTTTTTCAGTCATTAATCATATGCGGATGCACCAGTCGCATTATCACCCACACAAATTATTGCTTTGCTTCGTGTAGGAATCTAACTTGCAACTTTTTGAAGGCTTAATTGAACATGCAGTGGTGTATTAAGTCGCGGAGAACCTAACGGGTTACCGGGGCTCCGGCTCGACGTGCGGGAGAAGGAACGGGGTGGTTTTTAGTCAGTAGGAGTCTAACACTCCCTTCCGCCTCACCCAGGCGAGAGCAGTCATTAGACGATTTTCGCCCCTTAAAAAAAAGTGGTGTATTAAACTATTGCGATTTTTATACCATAAAACCTTTGGCTGCCCAGAGCTCAAACAAGGTCCTCGCATTTGGCAACCTTGTTTACAGTCTTAGCTAGAGATAACTAGCTCTTGGAAATTCCCTCATAACTTTACAAAGGTTAATTATAAAAACATAATTATTATTGAAATCAAAAACTAAATAACGTGTAAGATAACCTTTTTGACCAGTTGTAGATTAATAATGTTATTAAGACTAGTTAATTTTCTTTGTGTCAAAATGTAGAAAAATATTTTGTTACTAACTATTGCTCGTGGCTTCGTTCCCGTATATGATTCCTGTTGTATCTCATGGGAGTATTTAATAACAATAAAATGTGTCCATCACCTAAGTCAGCCCATACCCTCCCTGTATACCTAAAGGTAAAAATAAGTTAGTTAATACTAGAGGTAAAAATAAGTTAGCTATACCGCAATTCAGACTGTCCAAAGTACAGAAATCCTTTATGGGGTTAGGTATTAAATGCTATAGCATTTATATCTAGTATGCTATTTGGTATTTTTATAACATAAATTTTTATAAAATACCAAATAGCATACTAGATCTCAATGAAAGTAAATTTAAAACATATATTAAGCGCGAATTATGTAATCAAGCTTACTACACACTGACAGATTATCTTGAAGATAAGAATGCTTGGCAGCATGTTGGTTCGGCTCCACTGGACAATACTCAAATGTAGGCAGTAGTTAAATTCCAATAGTAGGTAATATAATACATAATTTAATACTTTAATTCTAATGTAGACAATCTAGTTTCCTTATGGCATCGAGCATTTCTTTCTTTATTGAAACAAAGAGTTTCCTTTTTCTTGTATAGAAGCACTATTTCTATGGATTGTCAGTATGCGTATGTGAGCACCATGTTAGACTTAAGATCTTTATTATTTTTATTTTAATTTTAGTAAGTTATTAGTATAATGCGTCAAGCGTGTCTTTGCATTGTTCTTACATATGCGTACAGTATTGAAATATGTATCAGAGACATTGTAGAACATACTTTTTTAAAAGAGTAACGAATGGAGTTTCTTGCTCATTCTTCTCCATTCGAATCTACGTTTTGGAATGAGCACCTAGCTTCACCTAGCTTCACTGACGGACTGACTGACAGACTATTATTTATTTTGTATTTGTTGACGTTTCAAAAGTACCAAACTATGGTTTAATTGAAATAAATGCTTTGACTTTAACTTTATCAAATTTCATCAAAATCCTTTCTGTAATTTTAGCGTGCTTGACGTACAAAGATCCAAACTAAGAATCTTTCACGTTTATAACTAGCTTCTGCCCGCGACTTCGTACGCGCAATCTCGTTTTCTCCCGTTCCCATAAGATTTTCAGGATTTTTTTTTCTATCATAAGAGGACCATCTTTACCACAAGGGCACTCGGGGCCCGTGCCCAGGCCTCAGGGCCACTACACGTTGCGCGGCAACCGGCTACGCGCTGCTCTAAGTTGTACAGCCTCTTTTTGTGCCTTTAGGCTTAACTCATTCTGTCTCCTGCAGTAATTCACCTATGGAAGTGGAAACTATCGTTTTTTTTCTTCTCCTTTTATGATTTATCTTCTGATTCACTTCGTGGCAGAAACCAAAACGGTTATTCATGTCCCTGAGACGCGCCGGACTTCAGTGTTTCGGTGTTTTCATGATTGTATCTACTGTAGATCCTGGCTTACAGGAGTTGCTGCGGTTATGAGAGGCTGTGGCGGGCTTGTCCCAAAAAAGAACGCACCGACCTATCTTTGTGTGCTCCAAAATGTTGTTCCGGGTCTGGGTATCATGTGTATGTGAACTTGTATGTTTGTAAATGCACCCACGATACAGGAGAAAACCCAAGAGCCCCAGCGTAGTTAAGACGGGCCTGGCCAGCAGACGCTAGTACAATTTATAAAAGTAAATTCCAATGAAAAAAAACTCAATAAATACGTATATAAACATTTATTAACGCTAAGAGCGTACGACATAAAATACAAAGAGAGAAAAAACAGTCAAACTCTAAACAAATACACTAAGCAAAAATATCTTAAAATATATTATTATACAAATTAAAAAACCTTTATAAACTCTGAAAGACCATACAACTAATTTAAATATAATTTTAAGTATACCAATTAATTTAATTTTAGGATTCTTTCAGTCGATTCATATACATAGAGATACATAACATAACGACCCTTATTCTCTAGGCAGACGTACCGCAATTCAACCGCAAATTGCAGTTCGGTTACAGTTTCAACGCAGTTGACACGACTGGAATAGAACTGCAATCGGACTGCTCGTTTGGTTTGCAACCGTTTGGTCATGATTGCAATTGAACTGTAAACCAAACGTGCAATTTGCAGTTGAAATGCTGTTTGTCTGTTTGATTTAGGCACGATGACAGAGTAAGAGAATAAAAAATCTATTTAGTCCATAAGATAGACAATGAAAAAATATTACACACGTATTTTTTTTATTTTGTCGTATAAAAAAATAATACATAGATACTAAGGCTAGCAAGGCTAAAACGTCATTTCTACGTAAAAATGTACATAGAAGCGACGTCACGCGACATTTGAATTCAATATATCGTCGAAAGTATTTGTTTCTGTACGACAAGAAAAAATACGTGTGTAATGTTTTAAAATAATCTACCAGACGTACATTAAAATAAAAATTAGGCATCTACTCTATTGTAAAAACCTCCCTTATGTACTTGTACAGAAGGTCCAACCAGTGCCTTTAGCCAAACGCCACTTAAGCGCTTTTCTACCGAAAGAGTAGAAAACTGAATGTATGGGGATGACACTGACAAGTGTCAAAATTTACGTCAATTACATATAATTTAGTTTTCTATTCTACATGTAGACAAGCGCTAAATGGCATTTGGCTACAGCTGCTGGAGTGAACTGTTATCGGCTATCGACCAGTGTCATAATTATGTTCAGTAACGTATATGAATCGATGAAAATAAAACACAATTACTTTAACCTCTTAAGTTAAGTTTTTGGAATGAATTCGCAGTCTTATAAATTGGAAAACTTATTTGTTCGAGCCAATCATTTATGACGTCATCAAAGTGACAAATATAATAGAAAAAAACCTTAAAACTATTACCGAAAGAGACAATCAACCACACAAAATGCAAGCGAGAATAAACCTTATTGCCTTTTAGAGGTATAGAAAGATTTTTTTTTGATACATCGCTTGTGCTAATTTGAACCTTAAGACGAAAGACGAGGGACATATACAACACCAAAAGAGCATAGAAGTGCCTTTTAGGAAATCGAGGATTCTAGAATCGACATGTGGGGTGGATTAGATTTCTTTGGATAGACCTAGAAAATCTAGATTCAAATCCCTTGGATAATCCCTTTTTCAGGCCATTATACAGGGTGCAAACGGAATACTCCCGAAAAACGCCGACAGATGATGGTAAAAACAAGTATTATTTTCAAGTAAGGAATTAATCAACTGCTCCAGGCTGATGTTGCATACGATCTCCGGCCACCGTAAGCGCGGGCCTGCGGACGGCGAGCATGGGTGGCTCCCGTCCGACCAGAAACACCCGAGCGTACGGCGCGTCGCGTTCCGCGCGCGCCTCAAAGAGCCATCAGACCACCACATATGAGGTCCCATAGGGCCGATGCCGATACCGAGCCGCGGAGAACCTAACGGGTTACCGGGGCTCCGGCTCGACTTTTTAGTCAGTATGAGTCTGACACTCCCTCCCGCCTCAACCAGGCGGGAGAAGTCATTCGATGATTTTCCTCTCATAAAAAAAGAGGCTGATGTTGCATTAATAACATGAAAACAAAAAACGATTCAAGTTGTAAAAACAATTTCTTTTTTTGTCAGCGTTCCGAGAGCACTCCAAAGGTTGATTTGTGCGGTTGACGCATAATAAGTAATTTCGCCAATTAATAAAAAAACAAAATATTAAAAATAATAAAAATTAAAATTATAGAAAATAATAATATGACAAGGTATGCCACTTAATATCTTAAAAATTCATATTTCTATGATATGTAAGCTCAACACTTTCAACATTAATTTAGATTTAGAAGATGTCGTTCGATGACAATGTATTTTTAAAATATATTTTCTTTGAGATTTCAGATAACTGAGAATTGATGCGATCTATCCGACTGCTGGAAAGGTAAGTCATGTATTATATATGGCCTTTATATAATTATATCATTACGCCTGTCATCCCAGGAGGGATAAGCAAAGGTGCACGTATAGACCCCTTTGCCCCAGTTATAAGTTCCATATAATAGGGTTGTGCCTATTGCCATAAACCGGACATAATTCTAGACTCCATGCTTATGTTGAGAACTTTCAAAAAACCGAAAAATCCTCAATAGTTCTTCACCCGATCCGGGCATTTAATATTGAACTTTATACAGTCGGAATAAGGTAATTTTTTCATCGCACATCAAACCTCAATTGTCTGAATCGAAATCGATAACAATTTTTAACTTTATAAAGTTTACAATGTTTTAATAAGTTTATTCGTAATAAAATGCAATTACAGGACAATACGATAAGACACCATATACCCGGAATATTTTTTTAATAATTAAATACAACAATTATTCAAAATATTCAGTTTTTTTGTAGAACACAATCCATTCACGACTTTATCGACTTAGCTTTTAGGTCCAAATCACCTTTTGGAGAGACGATCATTAGTTTTCTTTTGTAAAACAAAGTTACAATCTAATTTGGAACGACCATCTTACATTTTAAAGTTCATTTTGCCTCGAATTAAAACGGACAAATATACGAAAGTATCCAAGCTTGCAACAAACAAGCAATTCTAGGCCTAATCTTTGAGCAATAACCAATAATTTGGCTTACCCAACTCATTACAGTTTCTACCAGTCTCGTAAAAGACCAAGGAAGATTCAACCTTAAGATCTCAGGTACAACGAACAATTTCGCATACCCATTACTCACTATACTAAGGCACGCAATTAACGGCCTTGAATACAAGTAATAACTTACAATTTCGCTTGCCCACAATCCAATGCGGGTTATATCAGTCTCATAAGGAAAATGAAGTCATAGAAAATCGTCAATGGATTGGAACTACACCCAGCTTCGTTTGCATCGCCGCTCCGTCCAAATCGTATGTATGGGGGCTAGCGAATGCTCTTGCAAAGCCACTAACCACTGCTTAGGACTGCGCCTCTGTCTGAAAAATTGATAATTAGATCGATGTCAATTTATTTAGACTAACTACAATGGTTTTCTAAATTAAATAAATACACACATGAATTTTAAAGTAACTTAAGTACTGTAAGTTGATATGATTACTTGATTACATTGCAATTCTAACATTCGACATGTAAATAAATCGTTATAATAGGGATGATGACAGGGTATGAAAATTAAAAATCTAATTAGTCCGTAAGTTAGGTAATGAAAACTTATTAGGTACGTATTTTTTTATTTTGTCGTATAATAAAACAATACTTAGATAAAACGAATCAAAGTTTAAGAGTGGGGGCTAAAACGTCATCGTCATTTCTTAGTATAAAATGTACATAGAAGTGACGTCACGCGACATTTCAAATCAATATATCTTCGAAACTATTCGTTTCCGTAAGAAAATAAAAAATACGTGTCTAATGTTTTTAAATAATCTACCAGACGGACATTAAAATAAAAATTCGTTGTCTACCATATTGGGCTTAATATGTTACAAAAAGGGTGTCAGTAGTCACGCATTGGTCCCATTGTAAAAAAACTCAGTCAAATATAGACACATTTCTAGACTACATTCTATTTTTGTCCTTATTGAGGGCTATATTTTTTTTATGGCAACGAGCAGACGGATCGCCTGATGGTAAGCAATCGGCGTTGCCCATGGACACCTGGAAGACGCGTTACAAGTGCGTTACCGGCCTTTTGGAGATTAGGAGTTTGAGGATCATTGGGGATTTCAGGGATTGGGGAGATTGCGGAAGGGGAGGGTAATTGGGCCTCTGGTAACCTCACTAAGACGACGAAACACAACGCTAGCGTTGCTTCACGTCGGTTTTCTGTGTGGCCGTGGTATCACTCCGGTCAAGCCGGCCCATTCGTGCCGAAGCATGGCTCTCCCACACTTATATATTATATTGAGTGAGAGGTAGGTCAAGTGGCTATCCCACCCACTCGCACAAAGCACTTCGCTTCAAGCTTTGTAATGCGAACTGCTAAGGAGTGGAATTCTTTGCCGGAGTCTGCTTCCTGAAGGTTTAACCTGGGTGTCTTCAAGGTTTGAGTGAATAGGGTTGCTTATGGGCAGATATGCTCCATCGGAGACGGCATCATTGCTTACCATCAAACGAGATAGAGGATAAACGTCGAGTACGTCGACCCATCACAAATACGACCCAAATTCTAAACAACTACCAAAATCACTTTCTTTCTATATTCAATGTTGTCGAAGCGCCTACTTCTTTATACAAGCAATTACACTCGACTGGCTAATGACGCGAACCAGTGCACGTTAGGCGTATTTGTAGTTAATATTGTTGTATTCTGTAAACTCTCATCAATCTGTTTTTGCCATTGTTCAGATTACTAAATATTAGTTAAATAACTAATATTATAAATTCCTGACTTGGATACAACACTCTGAAGACCAGGCGGGAGTTTGACCAAGTAGGCATAATGCTTAAAGTGTGTCGTGGATTAACTGATGCTCCAGATCGTCACAATGAGTTGATACGACTATACGTGCCTGATAACTATCTTCGCAATAGGAACCATCGGCTCTTAGCAGTGCCTACTTCCCGCACTAATGCACGTGCGAAATCTCCACTCCACGTGTTCTTGCTGCGTTTACCAACCTTATGAAGGTCTACCCGGATTGTGACTTGTTTAATGATAAGTATAAGGCTGTAATGTCAGTTTGCCTGGTGTATTGCGAGCAGAACCACATATAAAAATGTTATTTTATCTCGGTTTCCAGATTCTGTGTGCATATATTGTTATTATTACTATTATTTCATTTTAATTCTAAGTTGTATTGTATTTTCATGTATTTTTTTTGTGTCCAACATTATCTAATGTTTTGTAATTTTACTATATTTTCTCATCTACTTTTAACACCTTTTTTATATTATGTACTTTAATTTAGTTTTCTTTTTTTTATATTTTTTGTAATTGAATTTGATTAATGTAATTGGTGTCTATCGTGTTAATCAATAAACAAAATAAATAAATAACACGCTATTAATTCTACTCGACTGCTTTAAATTATTTTACCACCTTGGAGTCTTCTACAAATGTTCTAATCAAACCTACTGTTTCTGTCTATCTACCAACCAATCTATTCAACCATGATATCCTAAGATAGAATGATGAAAATAATACTTTAAAAATCAATATACAAGTTAACGTACAGTGCACTCCTTTTCTTCTGGCTTCTTGTTGGCCATCGTTTCTGGATTGTACTCGTTCTCAAGCCCGAAGTGCTGAAACATTACGTTCCATCGTTATAACATAATGTCTGTGAATACAACACATCAATTATAATAACTTATTTCAAAAGGGAATTCAGGAAAGACGAACGGCGGAGCGCCACCCTTATATGGTGGACATTCCACCCATTCGCACGAAGCGTTTCGCATCAAGCTTCCTCATGCGAACCGCTAAGGAATGGAATTCCTTGCCAGAGGCTGTGTTTCCCGTCAAATATGACTTGGGTGTCTCCAAGTCCCGAGTGAACAGGTTGCTCATAGGTAGGCGTGCTCCATCGTAGGCCACATCATCGCTTACCATCAGGCGAGATGGTGGTCAAACGTCGACCTATTAAGTATAAAAAAATGTACATAGAGGTACATTTTAAAATGTATTTGAAAATCATCAAAAAGTTATGCACATAACACCACGCATTTTATCCCCGAAATGGTAGCCAGAAGTTCACATTACGGCAATTAATGCTTCTGTACAATGTAACACCCAGTTTTCACTATTTATGTTATGAGTCCCATGTAATAGGGGGTGAGCCTATTGTCATATAGCGGGCACAATTCCAGGCTCCGTGCTACTACTGAGATTTAAAAAAAACTCAGTAATACTTTGCCCGACTCGGCCAACGAGGCCAACGAGGCTATGCTCTTGTATTGTTTTTTTGGTCTTGAGTCTAGAATCTTAGCTCAATTACATTGTGTATTTTGCAGGCAGCGACTACCACTTTAAGCCACTATTGCCAGATTTTCCTTTTAGAACTGAGGGTTTCAAATTCAAGTAAACCCCCGAGTACCCTAATCAACTTTGATGATCAATTATTGTCAATTTCAAATAAGAGCCACACAAGGCTCTTATTTGCATGAGGACAGTTAAAACAATAAAATAAAAATAATTGATACAAACCTTCAAGATATCCTTATTAGACAAATGATCACCGGGGCCACTTTGAGTGAAATGACGTAGGAGATTCCCGCCCTTTTGGACAAGCACAGCGCCTCCGGTTTGCACCCAATCTCCCTTCAAATCTCCTCCCAAGCCTAGATTAAATGGAAAAAAAAAGAAAAATATGGAAAAAGTAAACCTCTAGCACGTCCTGGTTTGGGTATCGGTCCGCAGGGCCCATTTGCACGAAGTGGCACAACAATTTCCCGCCATTTTTCACAAATAAGGCGCCGCCATTTTGTAATCCGTCGCCGATTAAGTCGGTCTCCAGGCCTGTGGCGTACTTCCATGTTATTTCTTTATTACGTATTGTATTGGTCTACGTGATGGATGGATGTTCTTTTAAAATATTAAATCATTAAAATAAACGTTGACAATAAAATAAATTACCTACAGTCAGCCAAGTCATTTAGTATTGCTATGTAGGTTAGAACATTTATCATTTACGCTGATTAATTGAGCCAAATTTCTATAACCATTAGATAGTTCAGTTCAGTTCTATTAAATACGTTTTTGCGCAAAAGAAACATCCATCCACCTACCGGCACAATCGGCAACGGATTTACAAATCAAACGGCTACTTCAACTCTATTCTATTTACTTTTTATAGAAAATATACTACTCTACTTTAGGAGAGATTCTGAGTTCGCTAGGTGGCGCTAGCATAGTGTAAAGTCTTGTTCAAAACATGTCACCGTCATAGATCAATGATGAAGTTATTAGCTTGACTTTACGTCACACTAGCGACCTCTAGTCATGCGGAAATCATTGTTCAATGTCAATTATAATTATTATCTCAATGCTCAAGAAAGATAAAATTATGTCTATTTTACAAACTATTTATTTTTTTATGGGACAAGCCGGCCAACGAGCATACAGATCAATTGACGATAAGCAATCGGTGTCGCCCATGGACACCTGGAACACCAGAGGAGTTACAAGTGCGTTACCGGCGTTTTAGGGATTAGATTGAGGATTGTTGGGAATTCAGGGTTTGTTGGGGAGATTGGGCCTCCGGTATCCGGTATCCTCACTCACACGACGAAACACAACGCAAATGATGTATCACGTCGGTTTTCTGTGAGGCCGTGGTATCACTCCGGTCGAGCCGGTCGGGCCGAAGCATGGCTCTCCCACACTTTTTAAACGCCAAAAAGTTGGTTAAACAATCTTACCTATACCTATTATACAAAGCGGAAGAGTTTTTTTTGTTTGTTTGTTTGAACGCGCTAATCTCTGTAACTACAAGTCTGATTTTAATAATTCTTTTTGTGTTGGATAGCGCGTTTATCGAGGATGGCTATAGGCTAGGCTATAAAACATAAATCAACGACCAATAGGAGCTGAGCAGAGCGTGTGAAACCACGCGGCAGTAGCTAGTAACTTTATATTACTTCCATGTTTTCTACGAATGTGTATTTACGTCCAATATTAGTAATCGATCGATCAGTCGGAATAAATTCTTTTGAATTTCTGTCAAAAACTTGGATCGAACCGAAAACTCTTCATTATAATCGGTTATCAATAACAGTCATAAATCTATCAATATTTCTACATTACGTACTTTTAAAACAACTTTACCGGAATACAATCTATTCAAAATATCAAAATAGGTCTACATTTTGAGCTAGACCACCTACTAAGACTTTGAATTCCATCTTACCCATGCCGCGTCCTTTGAATATGGCGTCTCTAGACTGTTTCCAGAAAAGTGATGTGATTATGGTGACCACGTTAAATCTTTTGAAGCCAAGAAGTTGGTATGTTGATATGTTGTCCACGTAGTACAGATCTGAAATATTTTGAAAATAGTATTACTATTTATTTTATTTTATGACTTTTACTTACCTACTTATTTAAATTTTACACAATAGGATGGTTTCCTAAATTTTATTTTAATGTCCGCCTGATACATGAATTTAAAACTTTAGACACGTATTTTTTTCTTTTCTCACAAAATTAAATACTTTCGACGATATATTAATTTGAAATATCGTGTGACGTCACGGCGTGCCACATTTTGTAGCACGGTATGACGTAACAACCTCCCACTACTAAACTTAGCGCCATTTTATCTAAGTATTGCAACTTAATACGAGAAAATAAAAAAATACGTGTCTAATATTTTTTCATTATCTAACTGACGGACTAATTAGATTTTTAATTTTGATACCCTGGAAACTACCAAATTGCATAAGTAGGACTTAATGCTAACAGCATTCTCTGCCAGTCATCCTTTGGGGAGTGCAGAACTGTATTTGGTAAGTTAGCAAAAAGGTAATCCAAATTATAACGAGTTTTAACTAAATTCTAATTGAATTAATTACGTTATACATACGAATCATACGATACACATACCTAAATATCATTTTTTAGAATTTTTGCCTGTCTGTCTGTTTGTACAGACAAAAGAGATTACTCTGGAAAGGCTAGACCAATTTTGACGGGACTTTTATTTGAAGGTAGCTGATGTACTAAGGAGTAACGTAGACTACTTTTATTTATAGACAAACGCTGACGAAATAGCGTGTTCGGATAGTTGTGCAATAAAATACGTAATTTGACTATAAAATACGAACCTCCATCAAAATATTTCCCGTTTATGAAATCCTTAGAGCCGGCCTCCTCCACGCCAATACCGATCAACTTCACATTGTGCTTGTTCAATACTGGAGCAATTTCACTCAACTGAAACATTAATAAAATAGACTAAGTATACTTTACCAACTTTTTCCGAAATATGTAGTTTCTATGATTATTTAGACACCACTGACAAACGGTGAAGGAAAACATTGCGAAGAAACCTGGGCTTATAATTTCTAATTATAAGTTTGAAATTGTCAACCCGCATTGAGCAAGCGTGGTGATTAATGCTCAAACCCTCTCCGTGCCAGATGAGGCCTCATAGGAGCTGGTAATGATGAAGTATACTTTATTGTGGTGATTAATGCTCAAACCTTCTTCGTGTGAGAAGAAGAGACCTTTGCTCAGAATTGGGGAACTTATAGTTGTAGTAGGCTGTAGATGATACTTTATTGTTCAAAAGTTAGTAGGACAGGAATGCCTCGTTGGTCGTCGCAAGTGCGACTGCTAAGTAAGAGTTGTCGGTGTCGATTCGTGTCAGGTGAAGTATTGCTGTGGAGAATAAGAATCTTTCTAATAAGAAGATATGTAACGCTATTGACACGTGACAGTGATAATGAAGTCAACAATATATTCAGTATATTTGGTTTTATACTTACTAATATTATAAATCTGAAAGTGAGTTTGTTTGTTTGTTTGTTCCGCTTTCACGCCGTAACTACTAAACCGATTGCTTTGAATTATGGCAGACGTAAAGTAAGAAGTCTGGATTAAATAATAGGGTACTTTTTATCCCGGAAAAATTTGATATTCTCGAGGGAAAACGAAATTATTGGTATAGATGGCGCTATGTGTATTGGTATATGTCACGTAGGCTACTGTTTATCCTTTTGTGACGCGAGCCAAGCCGCGGGTAAAAGTTAGTTATCTATATAAATAAAAATCAATTTCCGTTCGTTAGTCTCGCTAAAACTCAAGAACGGGTGAACTGATTTGGATAATTTTGGTATTGAAATGTTCGTAGGAGTCCAGGGAAGGTTTATAAGGTGAGAAAAAGCATTTATAGGCCATACGAAGTTTGCCGGGTCAGCTAGTCTATACATATAAATCAAAAACTAATTTCCGTTCGTTAGTCTCGCTAAAACTCGAGAACGGCTGAACCGATTTGGTTAATTTTGGTCTTGAAATGTTCGTGGAAGTCCAGGGAAGGTTTAAAAGATGAGAAAAAAGTTTGAGGGGGTATGAAGTTTGCCGGGTAAGCTAGTATCTTTACAAAAGTGTAATAAGATGATGTTTAGAAAAATTACCTTATTTAATTTATTGATAAACTATAGTACCTACAAATTCAAAAATGTTAATCCAAACTTGTGTTTATCTAATTACACAATAGTTTTATTTTCCAAAAAGTATTGTAAAAACAATGCCATTTGTTCGACACAAATTATGATAAAAAAATCCTGTTTATCATGTTTTTTTTAAGTTATAATAGTGGTTTAATTATAGGCCTACCACCTTAAAGGCGCCTCTTTTAATCGTAAGGCTGATGGTAAAAAAAAAATCTTTACTAGCAATTGACAATTATTCCGGATTACAAGAAAAAAAAAATTAACGAGTATTTTCTTGTGTCGTGGATGCGTTAAGCCCTAACACAGAGACAGAGACATTGTAGAACATACTTTTTTTACAAAGAGTAACGAATGGAGTTTCTTGCTCGTTCTTCTCCATTCGGATCTACGTTTTGGAATGAGCACCTAGCTTCACCTAATTTCACTGACGGACTGACTGACAGACTATTATTTATTTTGTATTTGTTGACGTTTCTAAAGTACCAAACTATGGTTTAATTGAAATAAATGCTTTGACTTTGACACAAATTGTGAATTCTATGAGCTAGTTTGACATAGAAAAATTATGACAAATATTACGTCATTCTTTTTCTATTATGAAAATCCCTTATAGTCAGACAGTAAGCTATAGAGGGGGGGATAAAAATACAAAATAAATACCCCCCTCTTTCACTTACTATGTGATTGGCACCTGACAATATCGGGAAGGGAGTTATCAGCTAAAATATTCCGTCTTGTTATCTAATGATAACACTAATTCCACTGAGCGAGCCGTAGGCCGTGACATATCTATTTTTTGTGTATTAATGAAATGTTCTAGAAGGGACGGAATGCCTCGTTGATAGTGGGGTTCGATTTAAGGGTCGGGCAAAATGTTATAGGGAGATTTAGGTTTTTTTTCGGGACAGCTCGGAATCCGAATTACGGGAAGACTAGTCCCCTATTACATAGAACTCACAACTTTTTTATGGCATAAGCCTGTGAACGAGCATACGGATCACCTGATGGTAAGCAATCGGCGTTGCCCATGGACACCTGGAACATCAGAGGCGTTACAAGTGCGTTAACGGCCTTTTGGGGATTAGGAGTTTGCCGAACGTTAAGGATTCAGGAATTGGGGAGATTGGGGAAGGGGAGGGTAATTGGGCCTCTTTGAGGTAACTTGAGTAAAGTGAGTGTTACATTGCATATGTGCATCTCTGCCTAACCGTTCAGGGTGTTAAAAGGCGTGATATTAATGTCCAAATACTTAAATGCCATTACATTTTAAATCGCGCTTAAGTATATTTCTGTCACTACAAATACTTGAATCTCAGATGATCTCTCTTAAATGAAAGAGACGGCACGATATTTAAGTATAACTTAAATTCACCTAGCTTTTAGTATCGTGGGGTCAAGTCATGTAAAATAATTACGTCAAAGGCAAATTCATACAACAGATAAATAACACAGTTATACAGTGTGATATACTTTCAATATATTATGCAATAATTAATTATCGTGTGAATTAAACAAGCTAGTCAGAAACACACTCATATATTCTATAAACAAAAGCAGAACATAGAATAGGTTTCCCTATTGAAAGTGGCCAGCTTGCCACAGATAACATAAACATATATTATAACAGTGCAATCACAATCGCCGCAACGCTAAAATCGGCAGTTTGCGTTGCGGTGCGTTGCGGCGTCGTGAAAAAGAGCGTTTTGTTATCGTTCGGTAGGGTAACCAGTTCGTCGTGATTTTTTATTGTGGATAGACGTGTCGCTGCTATGGACCATGGTGGAAAACTTATTGCTTATTTGTTATTAATAAGACATTACTCTGCTATGATGGAACGAGCGCTGCGTTGCGGCTCTGCAACGCGGTTATCTGTATCGGCCCTAACATTATTGAAAGTTTCTTTGTTTGATGTGATATCTGTCCGGCAACCACGCTGAAACTAGTGAACGGATTTTGATGAAATTTGGCATACAGACAGGGTATGTGTTGACTTAGGTGATAGAATACTTTTCATTCCCATTAAAAGAGGTAATACGCGGGCAAAGCCGGGAGTAAAAGCTATTTAAATATATCGACATGATAATCCATCTATTATCGATAAAAGGGGGTAAAAAGCTATAACAATAGAGTTAATAACATAACAGGTGGCTAATGTTATTTCTATAATTTATAGTACTTTTATTTTCCTGTTCAAGGACTAACAAAGAATTAACTGAAGCAAATAAACATAAAATAACCTTGGAACCTTGGAATTGGAATCAAAAACATATAAAATAAATGGTATACCAGTTTTTACGACTTCCTCGTGTCGTGCGACTGCCGGGCAAGGGGTTTCGGGTTCGATTCCCGGGTCGGGTAAAGTATTACTAGGTTTTAAAAAAAAATCTCAGTAGTAACGCGAAGTCTACCTCTGTTCCAAGTTTCATCCTGACCTCTTCAGCCGTTTTGACGTGAGGGAGTTACAAACATACAAACTTTCGCATTTGTTATATTCACCATCATCAACAGCCTTTAAGTGCCCACTGCTGAGCAAAGGCTTTTCTCACACGGAGAAGGTTTGAGCATTAATCACCACGCTTGCTCAATGCAGATTACAATATATAATAATAATAATTAGAAATTACAAGTCAAGGTTTCCTCACGATGTTTTCCATCACCGTTTGTCAGTGGTGTTTAAATAATCTTAGAAAGTAAGTACATATAACTCGGTAAAAGTCACATTGGTACTGGTAAGTTTCGAACCCGCACTCTTAGCCATGAGAAGCGGGGTCTTAAACCTTCGAGCCACCACGACATATATTTATAATATTAGTGGATTGATACAAATATCAACAAATTGAACCTTTATCCCTATAATATTCAATCAATTTTCCTATCCCAATTCCACAATTTATAACTCCATAAATACTATATTATTATGCAAAATTTTTAACCCACAAGAACAAATTAAAATAACCCCTATTTCAATAACAATTAAGTTCATTTTCTAACTTCAATTTCACAGTTCAATGTACTCTTTTTTTATTTATCTAAATTTTCGTTCGGACATTTCATATCGCCAGTCATCTCTAATATCTTTATCGGTACAGATAATAAATACGTGTAAATGGAATTTGACACTACATTTCATAACATAGTGTCAAGTAATATACCTAAAATCTAATAATATTAATAATCTATTACATTTTCTCGTAGTTTCTGTGACAAACATAAGATAACTTTTGTTATGGCATAAGCCGGTAAACGAGCTGGCGGATCACCTGATGGTAAGCAATCGGTGTCGACCATGGACACCAGGAACACCAGAGGCGTTACAAGTGCGTAACCGGCCTTTTGGGGATGAGAAGTTTGAGGATCATTTGGGATTCAGGGATTGGGGAGATTGGGGAAGGGGTGGGTAATTGGGCCTCCGGTAGCCTCACTCACACGACGAAACACAATAAGATAACTTAATAAGTAATTTCATTAATATTATGTACCGTATAGAATTAACGCAAATTGTATACAATTGAGTGTAGTTCTAAGGGATAAAAATTATCAAATTGCTCCTCCCGCCCTAGGCGAGGTGAGCGAGAGCGTCGGACTTTTCGGAGCACGACTGCACCCGATGCCGCTACATCAGCGCGCGTCAGACCGGTCTGCCTGCATTAGAACACCCAATTTAACTCATCCCCTCAATCGGCGTCACCGAGCATCGTGGCGGAACACGGCTAGGACGCTTGGCGACATGTTTTTGCTCCATGGCGACCATGGTGTTACCCTATTTGTACCACTCAGAGGCCACGTGTAGGGATGATTTTAATTTAAGGGTACTCTCCTACGGACGATACCTCCCCCATAAAAACTGGACTTGCTTCACTTCTAACTGGACTGCTCTAAACTGGCCACCCGGTAACCCTTGCGGTCGTTCTAAACCCCGGTATCCAAAGCCTAAGATACTTCGAGTCAGCATCCATTCTCATTTCAAACTTCACCCTATCAAAAACTCATTTCTCTTTTTAACCCTCTTCATACAATTTATCTTTTGGTTGCTAAACAATCATCATCTTCATTGTGATCATAAGCCACAAAATATCCACTGTCTCACATAGATCTCCCTTAACAATAGCAGGGTAGGCCGGTTGGAACTTTAAATGCATCCTGCACGGTAAATAATGTTGCTACTTAAATTAAATTTTTCTTACCTCTTTGGCCCACAATCTGCAGAGCATGCAACCCCAGCGTCTGAAGAATATGATAGCAACATTCTGGTCCTCCCAGAAGCTTTTCAACTCTACTGTCTGGAAAATAAAGTATATTTTTTATGTCAAAAATAAGCAAGGGAATATCACGTATATTATAGCTATACAGATAAATAAAATTGGAGTGTCTGTTTCTAATATTAAAATAACCGCTTTCCACTACATACATATGTATTTACTTTTTTTTATAGCATAAGCTGGTAAACGAGCACACGGATCACCTGATGATAAGCAATCGGCGCCGCCCATGAATATTCGAAACACCAAGGTGTTACAAGTGCGATACCGGCCTCTTGGTAATTGGGAATTTGAGGATTGTGGAGGATTCGGGAGACGGGGACTAGGGGCGGGGACTAGGGTAATTGGGCCTCCGGTAACCTTACTCACACGACGAAACACAACGCAAGCGTTGTTTCACGTCGATTTTCTGCTCGGCTGTGGGATACCACAGCCGAGCAGGAGTGTTAACAGGAGGAGTTAGGAGCCGGAGTGATAACTCCGGTCGAGCCGGCCCATTCGTGCCGAAGCATGGCTCTCCCACACTTACAATACGGATACGCACACCAAAATAACATTTTTACTACATTTGTCTGTCTGTTTGTACTGGTTAATCTCTAGAATGGCTGGACCGATTTTGCAAGACTCTTATTGGCAGGTAGCTGATATATACTAAGGAGTAAACGCCATAACTTGAAAATGGCTAGACCGATTTGGCTGATCTTTTTTTTGTTGTGTTTGTTATTGTCAGGTGAAAGTTCTTACGACAGAAATCTAAACGGGAGAAAACGGGATTACGCGTATGAAGACGCGGCAGAAGCTAGTTATATTAAAAAATTGTAAACCACCCTTTACAGATGCATTAAAGTGATTTGATTTGGTTTGATTTGACATACAGTTTTATAATAGATGACAGACAGTCATATTAAACTGTCAAACACCAAGCGGTCACCGGTGACCGCAACCTATTGTTCTATAATTGTGTGTATAATGACGGTACTCGACGAGTTAATTACTAAAGATGCAATATAATTTATTTATAAAGTCAGTTCAATGAATATCATAATAAATATTCTTGTTTATAATATTATTCTTTTATTACCATTCTATATAACTTTCTTCTGTTGACAGTTTGAACTATATCTAATTTTATTATGTTTTTATCAAGGTCCAGTGCAATTACTGCAAGATTTTTTTACAAACAAATAGGCTTGCTGATAACCTGTAGCCTTTTAAAATAATATAATAGGTATGTATGTACTTTGTTTTTATATGTATTTGTGTTGTCAATTGTGCTGTCTGTGTGTAAGTAAATAAATTAATAATACCTAAGTACATACCTAGGTGCATTAGTATTACTTCCAACATAATACAAAACATAGAAAATAAAAATTAAAAAGAATATATTCTTCTCTATGCTACCTGGCTGAATAAAACTGCCCTTTGCCACTGTAGGTATTCAATAAAAAATAATAAGTATAATCTGTGTAATTACGATGCATAGTAATAAATGACGACGGAAAATGGAAATTAATACATCCTGCAATTAAATGGAGGTAGATACATGAACTAATTATAGTTGCGAAACCATCTATGGCATATTACATATTTTCTTTAGTTGGCTTGATGAAACACAGTTAGAATTAGTACACCCTAGCCAATTCTGAAACTAGAACTCACAGTTGACTGCTTCACGAACAAGTTAGAGTTACGAAACATCTAAGCAAGCCGGTTAGTTCTTATAAATAAATTAAATATTTACTTAAAATAAAGTAAAATTATCAAGTCATGTTACCTTAGAACACAATTATTATCTGAATTAGAAACTAGAGAAACACTTTCCAACTACATTTTGAAAGCCGAGTGCACGTATAAACAGTAAAATCTTTTCCTTGGTTCAGATGCGACGTACGATTTATAAAAAAAAGTTATGTCTTCTAGCATAGAAAATTTATTAGCGTACTTACCTCACCGCTGGTGATGCTTTTAACTTTTTGTGATCCAATCTGATTGATATCCGTAGTCATTTTCGTTTTATTGCTTTATTACTGTTTTAAATTCAAACTTTAATTTCACCAAAACTCAAAATTGTTCCGAACCCAGCGAAATGAACAACATGAATGAAAAACGAAAAAAAATACGGTTTGTCATTTTCATTGGTGTACTATTGAATGAGTTTGAATGAACATAACCTGGTTTTCAACCAATGGCGTGTAAGGGCAATGACACATCTTTGATAGATACAAAAAGGCTGTGTATTAATAAATACAAATTTAGTCGAGTCAATTCTCGTGTAATGAATCTACTGCTAATTGCCATTAATTCATTTAGTTACTTTCTAACTAGAGGAAAAAAAAATAAAAAACATTTTTCTTCAAATGAATCAAATAGGTCGAATAGTGACTTGTTGATTATAAAACATCGGCCGTGTAATTAGAACTCGAATATGTGAATCGTAGTGGGTATAGTACCTACCGCCTGATGCAGGTCCTCACCGGACATGGAAGTTTCGGGAGGTAGGTACCTCCCGAAACTTCCATGTCACATGTCCAGACACAGGTGTGTCTGATCGGGCGGGAGGAAAGGTCCGGGTGTCATCACTGCAAGGACCCTGAGGACACGGTGGAACACTCAACGGGGGAACGCCCTGTGTAGGCTAAGCACCGCGCCGTGCCCTCAGGGACGAGATCGGCGATGGCGACCTCTCGCGTCCGGCCTAAGTGCGGGCCATGATGCGGAGCGAGGAGGACTGGGATGCCGTCTCCTACTTTTGCGAAGCAATCATGCTAGCTAAGGAGGAGGTGGGACGCGTGAGGCAGCGAAGCGCTGCCTCCTCGCAACCCAGCCATCGCGATGTGCACTCCGGGCGTCGGGGATCGCGGGGCGATCTCCGGCCACCGTAAGCGCGGGCCTGCGGACGGCGAGCATGGGTGGCTCGCCGCCCGACCAGAACCAGACCCGAGCGTACAGCGCGTCGCGTTCCGTGCGCGCCTCAAAGAGCCATCAGACCACCACGGATGGGGCCCATAGGGGCTGATGCCGATTCAGAATCGCGGAGAACCTAACGTGTTACTGGAGCTCCAGCTCGACGTGCAGGAGAAGGAACGGGGTGGTTTTTAGTCAGTAAGAGTCTGGCACTCCCTCCCGCCTCTCCTAGGTGGGAGCAGTCATTCGATGATTTTCCCCTCTTAAAAAAACACAATTTTAACCCGTTTAGGGTCGAAACAGTTGGGCCTTTATGTCCCGGTGCGATTCTGTTTTTGAAGAAATTACCCGTAAGCATATCAACTATACATTTGACCAGAGGATTGGCCATTTCTTCGGTTAGAAAAATAAGCATTGACATTCAATATGGAAATGCTGCCAATCTTCTGGGAACGTTTCGCAGTGAAAATAATGCGTAGGAGTACTTTGATGCCTAATTGACTTTTGTACTTTTAATTTCTTTTCGTCCTTTTAATTTATTGTTTTAAACCGACTTCAGAAAAAAGGGAGTTCTCAGTTTGACGTTTATGTACCTATGTATGTATGTTTGAGCGCAATTATCTCACGATTGGCCGAACCGATTTTGATGCGGTTTTCATAAAATTTTTGATATGCGTAGGAGAAGGTTTTAGTATATTATACTGTCAAACACCAAGCGGTCACCGGTGACCGCAATCTATTGTTCTATAATTGTGTCTATAATGACGGTACTCGACGAGTTAATTAACCGACTCCAAAAAAGAGGGAGTTGAAGTTGATTTTTTAAACGTAGTTATAGTTTTATATTGTTATGCAATTTTTGTCCAAATGTTCGAATTTATATTAGATATAGTTAGTATGATAATCGACTACATAAATCACGACTCGATTAACGTTTTGCGTATACCCCATCACTATAACACAACTACGACGATCCGTTCTATCTGTCCGCTTCATTCATTTCATTCCACATTGATAGCCTGTCACCGCGTGTTTCACCGGCTACAAATCTTTATTTATTTCAACAACTGGTGAGTTTTTACACTATTTATCATTACATACTTATAGTTAGAGTTCTAATAAGTTTTCTTTACAAATACAACATTAGTAAAGTACTACGACGTTACTATCAATTTGATTACGACCTTGTACGGTCTAGTCACTTCAATTGATTTTTTGTTACGTGTATTAGTCAGTTTTAAGCGTTTTATTGCGTTGTTTGTCCGTTTTTGTTGTGAAAAACGTGTCGAGTTTTCATCCACGCCTATTTCGTTGTATCCAGCAAAATCTAAGGACTTAGGTAAGTTCCCACTTGGTAGTGTCAGTAGTGTACCTAAATTAGGTGTCAGTTTTGTCAGAAAAGCTACTTCGTAATTACATGGTCTAAGCGTGTGTTGATTTTTGTTTTACAAGTTCCGTGATTACCATAAGTTTTTGCTGTGCAACAAGGCAAATGTTGAGCTAATCACTAGTGATTTTAATATCAGTTTTAATACAAAAGTCATAATTGAATCTAATTAGAAACAATGTGTTAACCATTTAATTATGGTGTTTATAGACTTGGACAATGTGAGGAAAGTAGGTCACAAAATGCATAGAAACTTATTGGTTTCTAGTTATCTATGGTGCTATACAAATTTATCACAATACAAGGAAAGTTTGACCTGGTTTTTATTGGGTCAGTTCTTTCATTGATAAAATGATTAAATAATTGTTGATAGAATCACTTCCTTGATTTTATTTTGAAGCAATAAACAATTGTATGTACTACAGTATGTTGCATATGATTTTGACCGCTTAATAGTCACATAAATCCTTATTTCAACATTTCTAGTTTCCATTTTATTATCTTGGGAACACTCGCATTTATTTAACATAATTTAGTAAGCGATATTCTACAAAAATGATAGAGGTAGCATTTAAAAATATTATGCAAACAGTAATTAAGAAACTGATAAAATAAAAGCTGTATGGAACTTTTAGTTCCTTAGTACTTACAGGTTATATTTAGTTTTTTTTTAAGGGGGGAAAATCATAGAATGACTGCTCCCGCCTGGGTGAGGCGGGAGGGAGTGTCAGACTCTTACTGACTAAAAACCACCCCGTTCCTTCTCCTGCACGTCAAGCCGGAGCCCCGGTTACCCGTTAGGTTCTCCGCGACTTGCAGGTTATATTAAGACTAGAACAGTTAATATTTTTTTGGCCTTCTCTTTTCAAAAGTATGTTATTTAAAATAAATGAACACTGCAAACGGGTTATCGGGGCTCCGACTTGATGTGCAGGAGAAGGAATGGGGTGGTTTGTAGTCAGTAAGAGTCTGGCACTCCTTCCCGCCTCACCCAGACTGGAGCAGTCATTCGATGATTTTCCCCCCTTAAAAAAAGTTGGTAGTTGCAATGATTATTTCAGGCATGCAAGATATCAAGATATATTTTTGAGTTTATTTTCCTTCACTGTGGACTTAAAAGACACTGTTACATAGTAATGCGCATAAAACTTTTTAAATTATATTATTTAAGAACATAGCACAATAATAAATGTAAAAGATAAGTATAACAAAATGTAAAAGATAAGTATAACAAAATGTAAAAGATAAGTATAACATAAAATATTCCCTTTTAGCTTTACTCCTCAAGTTTTTTTCTTTAAGTGTTAAATGTAAGAAAGAAGAACGATAAACCATTTGTTCTTGCGCAGAACATACATAACTAAAAACTCCAATAAATAAAATATAATATAAAGGGAGGGTAAATTAAGATATCATAGAAATAATATAGATATACATATAAATGCATCAACCATTGTGTTGTGCATTATAAAAGTGGTATAACTTCATATTTTAAAATACATATTTTTTGCTTAACAATATCACAGATTGAATGTGACACCATTAAGCAAACAATGATTGATTTATGATTTTCTGGTGGCAGTCAAAATAAATAAAAACAATTACCTAATTACATAACATAACACCACGCCTTTTACCCCTGAAGGGAGAGGTCGGCAGAGGTGCACATTACGGCCCTTAATATCTCTATACAATGTGACACCCACTTATTACAATTTATTTTATGAGTCTCATATAATAAGGTGTGAGACTGTTGCTATATTACGGGCACATTTCCAGACTCCGTGCTACTACTGAAATCTTTTTAAAACCCAGAAATACTTTGCCTGTCCCGGGAATCTAACCCGAGACCCTTTGCCCGACAGTCACATTTGCAACTGCTCTGCCAACGAGGCAGTCAATCACCTAATTAATTCTCGTATACCAACTCTTAGTAAGAAATCAATTGGAAATTAAACACTGAACAATTTTATGCAACATTCATTCAAATCTCTGGCAATCAGTTACTGATAGCGCACTGATTATTTGACTGATTAACTGATTAATCGCTCGGCTGTTTAACACTATCTTAGGTCTGTAATTTTTTTATGAATGTACTTAATGTTATCAGTACCTTAAAGACTCACTTTCAAATTCACTGTCAATTATTTTCTTAACACATTCTATTAATTTCTTTACATAACTTTGTTTCGTGAATGCTCTACGTGAGGCCCTGTCTTGCACATGCTGAACTAGTCCCATTTCACCGCAGACTTGGGACATTAGTAGATAATAGATATATAATGTTAGATTTTGATATGGTAAGTTCTCTTCTTAAAGGAAACACTGCAATTAGAAGAATAAAATAACTTTTATTTAACATCACAAATTAAAGGGTATTATAATTTCGAGTGTGACCCACGAGTGCACGGGATTGTGGATGGAATGCGACTGACTGTTTTTGTATAGGACGGGGTTGTATGCATTTGAGGCGAGGAGTGAAGTGTCAGCACTGTGACGGGGATAACGGCGTATAAACTTATGTGTAAAATCTGTATGTGTCAGTGACACATACAGATTACACACGCTAAAACAGGTGACATAAAGCTTTTCTTTCTTTCTACTAGTTTCGAGCCACACCAGGACCTATAATATTGTAAATATCATTTAGATTTAGATTCAGTTTGTCTCATAAAATAAGTTATATTAAAAACTGCATGTTCTATGTTGATTGTCTAGAATTGCGCTTAAAAACGTTGTGCTTCAAGATCTTCATTTAGCTCTAATTGTATTGTGTATCCAAGATTAAGAAAAACATTTATTCAT